AATCACTTATTGGAGAATGTTTACTATCAGTTGTTAGAGAATGTTGACAATCAGTTATTGGAGAATGTTCACAATCAGTTATTGGGGAATGTTCACAATCAGTTATTGGAGAATGTTCACAATCAGTTATTGGAGAATGTTGACAATCAGTTATTGGAGAATGTTCACAATCAGTTATTGGAGAATGTTCACAATCAGTTATGGGAGAATGTTCACTATCACTTATTGGAGAAAGTTCACTATAAGTTATTGGATAATGTTTACAATCGGTTATTGGAGAATGTTTACTATCAGTTATTGGAGAATGTTCACTAACAGTTATTGGAGAATGTTAACAATCACTTATTGGAGAAGGTTTACTATCAGTTATTGGAGAATGCTCACTATCACTTATCTGAGAATGTTTACAATCAGTTATGGGAGAATGTTCACAATCACTTATTGGAGAATGTTCACAATCAGTTGTTAGAGAATGTTCACTATCACTTATTGGAGAATGTTTACTATCAGTTATGGGAGAATGTTCACAATCAGTTATTGGAGAGTGTTCACTATCAGTTAATGGAGAATGTTCACTTTCAATTATTGGAGAATGTTCACTATCACTTATTGGAGAATGTTTACTATCAGTTAAAATGTATGGGAGAATGTTCACAATCAGTTATTGGAAAATGTTCACAATCAGTTATGGGAGAATGTTCACTATCACATATTGGAGAATGTTCACTATGAGTTATTGGATAATGTTTACAATCGGTTATTGGAGAATGTTTACTATCAGTTATTGGAGAATGTTAACAATCACTTATTGGAGAAGGTTTACTATCAGTTATTGGAGAATGTTCACTATCACTTATCTGAGAATGTTTACAATCAGTTATGGGAGAATGTTCACAATCACTTATTGGAGAATGTTCACAATCAGTTGTTAGAGAATGTTCACTATCACTTATTGGAGAATGTTTACTATCAGTTATGGGAGAATGTTCACAATCAGTTATTGGAGAATGTTCACAATCAGTTGTTAGAGAATGTTCACTATCACTTATTGGAGAATGTTTACTATCAGTTATGGGAGAATGTTCACAATCAGTTATTGGAGAGTGTTCACTATCAGTAATGGGAGAATGTTCACTATCAATTATTGGAGAATGTTCACTATCACTTATTGGAGAATGTTTACTATCAGTTATGGGAGAATGTTCACAATCAGTTATTGGGGAATGTTCACAATCAGTTATGGGAGAATGTTCACTATCACATATTGGAGAATGTTCACTATAAGTTATTGGATAATGTTTACTATCGGTTATTGGAGAATGTTTACTATCAGCTATTGGAGAATGTTCACTAACAGTTATTGGAGAATGTTAACAATCACTTATTGGAGAAGGTTTACTATCAGTTATTGGAGAATGTTCACTATCACTTATTGGAGAATGTTTACTATCAGTTATGGGAGAATGTTCACAATCAGTTATTGGAGAGTGATCACTATTACTTATTGGAGAATGTTTACTATCACTTATTGGTGAATGTTTACTATCAGTGATTGGAGAAAGTTCACTATCAGTTATTGGAGAATGTTTACTACCAGTTATTGGAGAATGTTAACAATCACTTATTGGAGAATATTAACAATCACTTATTGGAGAAGGTTTACTATCAGTTATTGGAGAATGTTCACTATCACTTATCTGAGAGTGATCACTATCAGTTATTGGAGAAAGTTCACTATCAGGTATTGGAGAATGGTCACAATCAGTTATTAGAGAATGTTTACAATCAGTTATCGGAGAATGTTCACTATCAGTTATTGGAGAATGTTCACTATCAGTTGTTAGAGAATGTTCACAATCAGTTATTGGAAAATGTTTACAATCAGTTATTGGAGAATGTTCACAATCAGTTATTTGAGAATGTTCACTATCAATTATTGGAGAATGTTCACTATCAGTTATTGGAGAATGTTCACTATCAGTTGTTAGAGAATGTTCACAATCACTTATTGGAGAATGTTTACAATCAGTTATTGGAGAGTGATCACTATCAGTTATTGGAGAATGTTCACAACAGTTATTGGAGAATGTTCACTATCAATTATTGGTGAATGTTTACTATCAGTTATTGGAGAAAGTTCACTATCAGTTATTGGAGAATGTTTACTTTCAGTTATTGGAGAATGTTTACTACCAGTTATTGGAGAATGTTAACAATCACTTATTAGAGAAGGTTTACTATCAGTTATTGGAGAATGTTCACTATCACTTATCTGAGAATGTTTACTATCAGTTATGGGAGAATGTTCACAATCAGTTATTGGAGAGTGATCACTATCAGTTATTGGAGAATGTTCACGATAAGTTATTGGAGAATGGTCACAATCAGTTATTGGAGAATGTTTACTATCAGTTATTGGAGAATTTTCACTATCAGTTATTGGAGAATGTTCACTATCACTTATTGGAGAATGTTCACTATCAGTTATTGGAGAATGTTCACAATCAGTTATTAGAGAATGTTTACTATCAGTTATTGGAGAATGTTCACTATCAGTTATTGGAGAATGTTCACTATCACTTATTGGAGAATGTTAACAATCAGTTATTGGAAAATGTTCACAATCAGTTATTGGAGAATGTTCACAATCATTCATTGGAAAATGTTTACAATCAGTTATTGGAGAATGTTCACAATCAGTTATTGGAGAATGTTAACAATCAGTTTTTAGAGAATGTTTACAATCAGTTATTGGAAAATGTTTGCAATCAGTTATTGAAGAATGTTCACAATCAGTTATTGGAGAATGTTCACTATCAATTATTGGAGAATGTTCACTATCAGTTATTGGAGAATGTTCACTATCAGTTGTTAGAGAATGTTCACAATCACTTATTGGAGAATGTTTACTATCAGTTATTGGAGAATGTTCACTATCAGTCATTGGAGAATGTTCACAATCAGTTATTGGGGAATGTTCACAATCAGTTATTGGAGAATGTTCACAATCAGTTATTGGAGAATGTTTACTATCAGTTATTGAAGAATGTTTACAATCAGTTATTGAAGAATGTTCACAATCAGTTATTGGATAATGTTCACAATCAGTTATTGGAGAATTTTCACTATCACTTATTGGAGAATGTTCACAATCAGTTATGGGAGAATGTTCACTATCACTTATTGGAGAAAGTTCACTATAAGTTATTGGATAATGTTTACAATCGGTTATTGGAGAATGTTCACAATCAGTTATTGGAGAATGTTCACAATCAGTTATTGGAGAATGTTCACTATCACTTATTGGAGAATGTTCACAATCAGTTATGGGAGAATGTTCACTATCACTTATTGGAGAATATTCACTATCAGTTGTTAGAGAATGTTCACAATCACTTATTGGAAAATGTTTACTATCAGTTATTGGAGAATGTTCACAATCAGTTATTGGGGAATGTTCACAATCAGTTATTGGAGAATGTTCACAATCAGTTATTGGAGAATGTTCACTATCAGTTATTGGAGAATGTTCACTATCACTTATTGGAGAATGTTCACTATCACTTATTGGAGAATGTTCACTATCAGTTATTGGAGAATGTTCACAATCAGTTATTGGAGAATGTTCACTATCAGTTATTGGAGAATGTTCACTATCAGTTATTGGAGAATGTTCACTATCAGGTATTGGAGAATGTTCACTATCACTTATTGGAGAATGTTCACTGTCAGTTATTGGAGAATGTTCACTATCAGTTATTGGAGAATGTTCACTATCACTTATTGGAGAATGTTCACTATCAGTTATTGGAGAATGTTCACTATCAGTTATTGGAGAATGTTCACTATCAGGTATTGGAGAATGTTCACTATCAGTTATTGGAGAATGTTAACAATCAGTTATAGAAGTACATGTTTGCGAGGAACGTCAGATGAACATGACACAAGATACTATATTAGTCACGACACATCGTGTAAGGCAACTAGATAACGGTGACGAATCTCCATCGAAACGTCGCTATATGCAATAAGCCAGACGTTGTTATCCCTAAAGTGTTTTCTTACTTACTCTCTTGGTGCGATCGGGTTGCCTAGTGGTCAAAGCGTTCGCTCGTCACGCCGAAGACCCGGGTTCAATTCCCATGGGTACAATGTGTGAATCCCATTTCTGGTGCCCCGCCACCACCCCCAACCTCCCCCCTCATATTGCTGGAATAATGGTAAAAGCTGCGTAAAACCGTACTCACTCACTCACTCACCCATAGTACAACCCACTAGTGACAGCTGTAACTCATAGTACACCCCACTAGTGACACATGTAACTCATAGTACATCACATTAGTGACACATGTAACTCATAGTACACCCTACTAGTGACACATGTAACTCATAGTACATCCCACTAGTGACACATGTAACTCATAGTACATCACAATAGTGACACATGTAACTCATAGTACACCCCACTAGTGACACATGTAACTCATAGTACATCACATTAGTGACACATGTAACTCATAGTACACCCAAATAGTGACTACTGTAACTCATAGTACACCCCACTAGTGACACATGTAACTCATAGTACACCCCACTAGTGACACATGTAACTCATAGTACACCCCACTAGTGACACATGTAACTCATAGTACACCCCATTAGTGACACCTGTAACTCATAATACATCCCACTCGTGACACCTGTAACTCATTGTACACCCTACTAGTGACACATGTAACTCATAGTACACCCCACTAGTGACACCGTCAACTCATAGTACACCCCACTAGTGACACGTGTAACTCATAGTACACCCCACTAGTGACACCGTCAACTCATAGTACACCCCACTAGTGACACATGTAACTCACACTACACCCACTAGTGACACCTGTAACTCACACTACACCCACTAGTGACACCTGTAACTCACAGTACACCCAACTAGTGACAAATACAACTCATAAAAAAACCCACTAGTGACTCATAAAACGAAACCATTATTTGTACACAAATTTTATTCAAGCAAACACAAGCACAGTTAGTATTGCACAAGCAGCGATAACCTTAAGACGACACGGCAACTAGAAGCAGCAACTTGCGTTATTCTTACCAGCAATGATATAGACTCTCCAGTAATCAGGTGGTGCCAAGTGGAATGGCATAAAAAACAAAGCATCACACATACAGCAGTGATACAATGAAAGTCCAAATAAGTTATCAGTTTTTTAACCTGCAACATTTGTACTGCACATGCTTGAGGACAAGCACTGTAGGTGACGAACAATGACATGACTTGAAAACAAAATATGTTTCATTTACTTACAGATGATAACGTTTGCCTGCATATTCAGCAGCACACATTCAACACATAAATGAACTTTATAACAGAAGACATAATATATCGGTTAACTCAAAGCGAAATTATGAAAGTAAATGTACATTGGCGGGGAAGCGAAAAGAATAATGAATAAGAAGGGTTGCGGGTAAAATAACTGAGTTGATGTCATCTGAATAGACATAGACATGTATAGGTGTGTATTATGCGCATTTATGTGCATGTGAATGGAATATCCTAATATTAATATCATGCCTTAATAAAGCGCCCGACTTCCAACTCAGATAGCTACTCAGCGGCGCCACACAATATTACTTCCCCAGTCACTGGATCAACGTGCACTCGAATGTCATTCCCAGCTGCAGCTCCCTGGGGAGTATACAACCCAAACTGCCTATGAGGCGCTCGAAGGTTAACATCCACATTACCATCTTGTCCTACCGGGTACCCCTTTATTGCTGGGTGAACAGAGGCCTACTGCGAACAAAGTCACTTGCCTTAGGCGACACCACACGTGTCACACGTGCTTCAATGTAGGTCACCATGGTCACCCATCCCCCCTTCTCCCCGCCACCGACGTGGAACTTCTCCCTATTGTGACCGTTGCGTCGTGCACAGGACCACATCCCATCACAGATACACAAACGACGTCGAAAGATTGATGTAGAATCGATGTGATGATCTAGAATCGATAGATTGATCTAAAATCGAAGGGATATGCTCAAAAAGCAATGAGGCAACACGTTGACATTGCTTTTGTTGTTACGGACGAATCAATATACATTTACCAATTTACAACCCGTGAAGATTCGGGTTAGTATAGGTCTTCAGCAACCCATGCCTGCCGTAACAGGCGACTATGCTGTCGTGAGAGGCGACTGACGGGGTCGGGAGGTCCTGACTCGATTATTTACAGACCGCTGTCCTAAGCTGGAATATTGCTGAGTGCGGCGTTGAACAACAAACAAAAATAGACAAAAACATTAACAAGCCTCACATAATTTAAAAAACGCTCAGTATTACATATTATGTAACTGCTCACTTATCAGGCATTCCAATGTTTCAGGGAGAAGGCATCAGGGATCAAAGGGGGGATATTAGGGACCAAGGAGAGGGCATCAGGGATCATAGGGGGGATATTAGGGATCAAGGAGAGGGCATCAGGGATCGAAGGGAGGATATTAGGGATCAAGGAGAGGGCATCAGGGATCAAAGGGGGGTATTAGGGATCAAGGAGAGGGCATAAGGGATCAAAGGGAGGATATTAGGGATCAAGGAGAGGGCATAAGGGATCAAAGGGGGGATATTGGGGATCAAGGAGATCAAAGGGAGCATATTAGGGATCAAGTAGGTCAAAGGGAGAATATATTAGGGATAAAGGAGATCAAAGGGAGCATATTAGGGATAAAGGAGAGGGCATCAAGGATCATAGGGAGGATATTAGGGATCAAGGAGAGGGCATCAAGGATCAAAGGGAGGATATTAGGGATCAAAGTGATACCATCAAGGATCGAGAGGACATCAGAGATAAACTAACAATGAACATGAAGCATGTTCTGTGTGTAGGTCCCTGCCCTAACGCTTGTAGTTGGAGTACAAGGAGTAGCTATTGTCGTTGTCGCCACCTTTCATGAGTTTGTTGTAGGATTTCTCGAGTTCCTTGAACCTCGGTCTCTGCCTCGGATCCTGCTCCCAGCACTGCTGCATCATACCGTAGTTCCTGCAAGAAGAGCGCTCTCATCTCAGAGAGGAGGACATCAGGACTGACCAGGGTATATTGGTCTGAACGTGCACGGGTGTTGCTTTACGTTGGTAACAGAAAGGGACCTTACGTAAGTTTTACACATGATTTACACAGTTGGTTTAATACTGCTTTCAACACGATTTCAGTTATATCACGGCGAGTCAGCTTAATGTGTGATGTCAGCCCAACGTGATGCAGGTCTCACGAGCACGGGTGCAGACAAACGAAGAAATATAATCAGGTTCTATCTTAGATTTCAGGCATGTCTATAATGTATAAACGAAGCGGTGTGATCACCTAACTACCGTATCCGTTCTAATAAGAGAAATATAAATGGCCCTCACAGTATTATTCAACAGAAACATTCCCAGGAATCACCAGTATCCTCATTATTTATATTCAGACCAATCAACAATTTCATGTGAAAACATTTTTTAAACCTTACTCACTGTTTTTATACCTCACTTGTATTTCGTAGTCACGTGTGTCAGCATGGCATGTAATATTTCGTTATAACATGTGTGTCACCATGTGTGTCATCAGGATATACACGTAATTTGTTATTACTCACGTGTCGTCAGCGAACTCTGGTCGTTTCATTCTGTGACCGGCCTTGACCTTTAGCGGCAACTCGCTCGTCTTCAAACCAGGATAAGGGTTGTCACCTGAATAATTATTATTGACGTATAAAAAACATGAACATGTTACTACAACAGTACTTGAAAAAAAGCTTATCGTTAATATACATAACACAAACATCACGATCTTTAAAAGAATCGACACCATACCTTTTTGCAATGCAATACAATATGTTTATATATTGGGCTGACGCTACTCGAGGATGTGACTGTCTTACCCAGGGAGAAGATCTCCCACAGCACCACACCAAAGGACCACACGTCACTCTTCTCTGAAGCGTCTTTGGTGGACTTGAAACACTCAGGGGCCATCCATCGGAGTGGGATGCGCTCCTGGAACACAGATCCTACCTTAGAACGTCCTAGCTTAGGAACAATCCTATATTATTACTTAGATGCTCCTTCACAACCTCCCCCTCCCCACTCCCTTAAGCCACGCAAACTCCTCCTACCTCCTATTTTTAGTCAGACCACCCACACTGCTGCCACCTTTCGAGCTCCTTCCCACGTAGATCACCACACTCCTCCCATCCTTCCTTCCTACCCAGACCACCCACACTCCTCCAGCCTTCCGTCCTACCCAGACCACCCGCACTCCTCCATCTCTCCTTCCTACCCAGACCACCCACACTCCTCCATCCCTCCTTCCTACCCAGACCACCCACACTCCTCCATCTCTCCTTCCTACCAAGACCACCCACACTCCTCCATCCTTCCTTCCTACCCAGACCACACACACTCCTCCATCCTTCCTTCCTACCCAGACCACCCACACTCCTCCATCCCTCCTTCCTACCCAGACCACCCACACTCCTCCCATCCCTCCTTCCTACCCAGACCACCCACACTCCTCCATCCCTCCTTCCTACCCAGACCACACACACTCCTCCCATCCCTCCTTCCTACCCAGACCACCCGCACTCCTCCATCCTTCCTTCCTACCAAGACCACCCACACTAATCCATCTCTCCTTCCTACCCAGACCACCCACACTCCTCCATCCCTCCTTCCTACCCAGACCACCCACACTCCTCCATCTCTCCTTCCTACCAAGACCACCCACACTCCTCCATCCTTCCTTCCTACCCAGACCACCCACACTCCTCCATCCTTCCTTCCTACCCAGACCACCCGCACTCATCCATCCTTCCTTCCTACCCAGACCACCCGCACTCCTCCATCCTTCCTTCCTACCCAGACCGCCCACACTCCTCCATCCCTCCTTCCCACGTAGATCATCACACTCCTCCACGTCTCCTTCCTATCCAGACCACCCGCACTCCTCCATCCTTCCTTCCTACCCAGACCACCCGCACTCCTCCATCCTTCCTTCCTACCCAGACCACCCAAACTCCTCCATCCTTCCTTCCTACCCAGACCACCCACACTCCTCCATCCCTCCTTCCCACGTAGATCATCACACTCCTCCCATCCTTCCTTCCTACCTAGACCACCCACACTCCTCCATCCCTCCTTCCTACCCAGACCACCCAAACTCCTCCATCCCTCCTTCCTACCCAGACCACCCACACTCCTCCATCCCTCCTTCCCACGTAGATCATCACACTCCTCCCATCCTTCCTTCCTACCCAGACCACCCGCACTCCTCCATCCCTCCTTCCTACCCAGACCACCCAAACTCCTCCACGTCTCCTTCCTATCCAGACCACCCACACTCCTCCATCCTTCCTTCCTACCTTGACCACCCACACTCCTCCACCTCTCCTTCCTACCCAGACCACCCGCACTCCTCCACCTCTCCTTCCTACCCAGACCACCCGCACTCCTCCATCCCTCCTTCCTACCCAGACCACCCGCACTCCTCCATCCCTCCTTCCTACCCAGACCACCCACACTCCTCCATCCCTCCTTCCTACCCAGACCACCCACACTCCTCCATCCCTCCTTCCTACCCAGACCACCCACACTCCTCCCATCCTTCCTTCCTACCCAGATCACCCACACTCCTCCATCCCTCCTTCCCACGTAGATCATCACACTCCTCCCATCCCTCCTTCCTACCCAGACCACCCACACTCCTCCATCCTTCCTTCCTACCCAGACCACCCACACTCCTCCATCCCTCCTTCCCACGTAGATCATCACACTCCTCCATCCCTCCTTCCCACGTAGATCATCACACTCCTCCCATCCCTCCTTCCTACCCAGACCACCCACACTCCTCCATCCTTCCTTCCTACCCAGACCACCCACACTCCTCCATCCCTCCTTCCCACGTCGATCATCACACTCCTCCATCCCTCCTTCCTACCCAGACCACCCACACTCCTCCATCCTTCCTTCCTACCCAGACCACCCACACTCCTCCATCCTTCCTTCCTACCAAGACCACCCACACTCCTCCATCCTTCCTTCCTACCCAGATCACCCACACTCCTCCATCCTTCCTTCCTACCCAGACCACCCACACTCCTCCATCCTTCCTTCCTACCCAGACCACCCACACTCCTCCATCCCTCCTTCCCACGTAGATCATCACACTCCTCCATCCCTCCTTCCCACGTAGATCATCACACTCCTCCCATCCCTCCTTCCTACCCAGACCACCCACACTCCTCCATCCTTCCTTCCTACCCAGACCACCCACACTCCTCCATCCCTCCTTCCCACGTCGATCATCACACTCCTCCATCCCTCCTTCCTACCCAGACCACCCACACTCCTCCATCCTTCCTTCCTACCCAGACCACCCACACTCCTCCATCCTTCCTTCCTACCAAGACCACCCACACTCCTCCATCCTTCCTTCCTACCCAGACCACCCACACTCCTCCATCCTTCCTTCCTACCCAGACCACCCACACTCCTCCATCCTTCCTTCCTACCCAGACCACCCACACTCCTCCATCCTTCCTTCCTACCCAGACCACCCACACTCCTCCATCCTTCCTTCCTACCAAGACCACCCACACTCCTCCATCCTTCCTTCCTACCCAGATCACCCACACTCCTCCATCCTTCATTCCTACCCAGACCACCCACACTCCTCCATCTCTCCTTCCTACCTTGACCACCCACACTCCTCCACCTCTCCTTCCTACCCAGACCACCCACACTCCTCCATCTCTCCTTCCTACCCAGACCACCCACACTCCTCCATCCCTCCTTAATACCCAGACCACCCACACTCCTCCCATCCTTCCTTCCTACCCAGATCACCCACACTCCTCCATCCCTCCTTCCCACGTAGATCATCACACTCCTCCCATCCCTCCTTCCTACCCAGACCACCCACACTCCTCCATCCTTCCTTCCTACCCAGACCACCCACACTCCTCCATCCCTCCTTCCCACGTAGATCATCACACTCCTCCATCCCTCCTTCCCACGTAGATCATCACACTCCTCCCATCCCTCCTTCCTACCCAGACCACCCACACTCCTCCATCCTTCCTTCCTACCCAGACCACCCACACTCCTCCATCCCTCCTTCCCACGTAGATCATCACACTCCTCCATCCCTCCTTCCTACCCAGACCACCCACACTCCTCCATCCTTCCTTCCTACCCAGACCACCCACACTCCTCCATCCTTCCTTCCTACCAAGACCACCCACACTCCTCCATCCTTCCTTCCTACCCAGACCACCCACACTCCTCCATCCTTCCTTCCTACCCAGACCACCCACACTCCTCCATCCTTCCTTCCTACCCAGACCACCCACACTCCTCCATCCTTCCTTCCTACCAAGACCACCCACACTCCTCCATCCTTCCTTCCTACCCAGATCACCCACACTCCTCCATCCTTCATTCCTACCCAGACCACCCACACTCCTCCATCTCTCCTTCCTACCTTGACCACCCACACTCCTCCACCTCTCCTTCCTACCCAGACCACCCACACTCCTCCACCTCTCCTTCCTACCCAGACCACCCACACTCCTCCATCCTTCCTTCCTACCAAGACCACCCACACTCCTCCATCCTTCCTTCCTACCCAGACCACCCACACTCCTCCATCCTTCCTTCCTACCAAGACCACCCACACTCCTCCATCCTTCCTTCCTACCCAGACCACCCACACTCCTCCATCCTTCCTTCCTACCAAGACCACCCACACTCCTCCATCCTTCCTTCCTACCGAGATCACCCACACTCCTCCACACCTCCTTCCTTCTTACACCTAATAAACTCCTCCCACCTCTTATCCATACGTAGAAACTACACGTACACATTCGTACACCCCCCCCCCCCCCCCCCCCCCCCATCTGCCGAGCTTAGTCCTTCGCATTTTCTTTCCGAGACCATGTATCTTTCCATGCACCTTCAGTCCGAAGTGCCACCGACATCACAACAAACAAACACCACTCCCCGAATCTAGACCCCCCGCCCCCCTTCTTACTTACACCTAATAAACTCCTCCCACCTCTCCTTCCTACTTACACCTAATAAACTCCTCGAACCCCTCCTTCCTACTTACACCTAATAAACTCCTCCCACCTCTCCTTCCTACTTACACCTAATGAACTCCTCCACCCCCCCCCCCCCTTCCTACTTACACCTAATAAACTCCTCCAACCCCTCCTTCCTACTTACACCTAATAAACTCCTCCAACCCCTCCTTCCTACTTACACCTAATAAACTCCTCCCACCTCTCCTTCCTACTTACACCTAATAAACTCCTCCACCCCCCCTTCCTACTTACACCTAATAAACTCCTCCCACCTCTCCTTCCTACTTACACCTAATGAACTCCGCCACCCCCCCCCCCCCCCCCTTCCTACTTACACCTAATAAACTCCTCCAACCCCTCCTTCCTACTTACACCTAATAAACTCCTCCAACCCCTCCTTCCTACTTACACCTAATAAACTCCTCCCACCTCTCCTTCCTACTTACACCTAATGAACTCCTCCACCCCACCCCACCCTTCCTACTTACACCTAATAAACTCCTCCAACCCCTCCTTCCTACTTACACCTAATAAACTCCTCCAACCCCTCCTTCCTACTTACACCTAATAAACTCCTCCAACCCCTCCTTCCTACTTACACCTAATAAACTCCTCCCACCTCTCCTTCCTACTTACACCTAATAAACTCCTCCACCCCCCCCCCCCCTTCCTACTTACACCTAATAAACTCCTCCAACCCCTCCTTCCTACTTACACCTAATAAACTCCTCCAACCCCTCCTTCCTACTTACACCTAATAAACTCCTCCCACCTCTCCTTCCTACTTACACCTAATAAACTCCTCCACCCCCCCCCCCCCCTTCCTACTTACACCTAATAAACTCCTCCAACCCCTCCTTCCTACTTACACCTAATAAACTCCTCCAACCCCTCCTTCCTACTTACACCTAATAAACTCCTCCCACCTCTCCTTCCTACTTACACCTAATAAACTCCTCCCTCCCCCCTTTCTACTTACACCTAATAAACTCCTCCAACCCCTCCTTCCTACTTACACCTAATAAACTCCTCCAACCCCTCCTTCCTACTTACACCTAATAAACTCCTCCCACCTCTCCTTCCTACTTACACCTAATAAACTCCTCCACCCCCCCCCTTCCTACTAACACCTAATAAACTCCTCCAACCCCTCCTTCCTACTTACACCTAATAAACTCCTCCAACCCCTCCTTCCTACTTACACCTAATAAACTCCTCCCACCTCTCCTTCCTACTTACACCTAATAAACTCCTCCACCCCCCCTTCCTACTTACACCTAATAAACTCCTCCCACCTCTCCTTCCTACTTACACCTAATGAACTCCGCCACCCCCCCCCCCCCCCCCTTCCTACTTACACCTAATAAACTCCTCCAACCCCTCCTTCCTACTTACACCTAATAAACTCCTCCAACCCCTCCTTCCTACTTACACCTAATAAACTCCTCCCACCTCTCCTTCCTACTTACACCTAATGAACTCCTCCACCCCACCCCACCCTTCCTACTTACACCTAATAAACTCCTCCAACCCCTCCTTCCTACTTACACCTAATAAACTCCTCCAACCCCTCCTTCCTACTTACACCTAATAAACTCCTCCAACCCCTCCTTCCTACTTACACCTAATAAACTCCTCCCACCTCTCCTTCCTACTTACACCTAATAAACTCCTCCACCCCCCCCCCCCCTTCCTACTTACACCTAATAAACTCCTCCAACCCCTCCTTCCTACTTACACCTAATAAACTCCTCCAACCCCTCCTTCCTACTTACACCTAATAAACTCCTCCCACCTCTCCTTCCTACTTACACCTAATAAACTCCTCCACCCCCCCCCCCCCTTCCTACTTACACCTAATAAACTCCTCCAACCCCTCCTTCCTACTTACACCTAATAAACTCCTCCAACCCCTCCTTCCTACTTACACCTAATAAACTCCTCCCACCTCTCCTTCCTACTTACACCTAATAAACTCCTCCCTCCCCCCTTTCTACTTACACCTAATAAACTCCTCCAACCCCTCCTTCCTACTTACACCTAATAAACTCCTCCAACCCCTCCTTCCTACTTACACCTAATAAACTCCTCCCACCTCTCCTTCCTACTTACACCTAATAAACTCCTCCACCCCCCCCCTTCCTACTAACACCTAATAAACTCCTCCAACCCCTCCTTCCTACTTACACCTAATAAACTCCTCCAACCCCTCCTTCCTACTTACACCTAATAAACTCCTCCCACCTCTCCTTCCTACTTACACCTAATAAACTCCTCCATCCCCTCCTTCCTACTTACACCTAATAAACTCCTCCCACCTCTACGAAGTGCCACCGACATCACAACAAACACCACTACCCGAATCTAGACACACACCCCCCCCCCCCCCCCCCCCCCCCGCCCCTTTCTTCAACCCACCCTCCTGCTGGTGTCCGCCGCCTCGTCCTCTGCCCCGTCCGTCATGATGGTGGGGCCAAACCCGGAGATTCTCACGTCCAGCAGAAAGGTGAGCAGGATGTTCCTCGCCGCCAACCGCCGGTGTACGATCTGAGAGTAGAACATGTACAACGTGCATCAATATATCGATATGTATCGGTGGTGGTGGTAGTGGTGGTAGTAGTGGTAGTAGTAGTAGTAGTAGTAGTAGTAGTAGTAGGAGTAGTAGTAGTAGTAGTTGTAGTCGTAGGATTACTGAGCATAAATAGCGACGTGCATGTATGTAGTCGTAGGATTACTGAGCATAAATAGCGACGTGCATATATGTATGCGTGCGCGCGTGTGTGGATATATGGCTGCTTGTACCAGTCCGGACTAATACCGATTTATAATGCAAGCCTACTGAGCCTACTCCGTGCCCACCAGTCCTTGTTTTAGGCCCTTAATGTCGAGTGCCAGGCAGGGTAACAACTAGTACCATGTTTTTACGTCTTTTGGCATGACGAGGCCGGGATCGAACCCAGGGCTCTCCGGGCTGACACTCTATCCAGTGGACCACGTAGGCCTACTTTTTCCAGGGGCATGTCCGCGTTTTTATCTGGACAAGTTATTGAACTTTGATCAGCTCTGTATGATACCCACAGGTTTAAAATGAAAAGATTGTTGTATGACCATGATATCTGTCGTACCCCAACTTGAGCCAAGTACGCCATTCCTTGAACGACTCCATGCGCCAACTGAAACATCCGCTCCAGAACGTCATCACTCACTGACCCCTTCTGCTGGACCAGCCAGGTCCGCATGGGTCCCATCTCACAGTACTCCAGCACCATCACCGGACCCCCTGAAGTATAGACCCACATCTCACTTTAGTATTTGAGTGACCCATGAGCGGCTCACACAGCCCCTCGTGGTTTATTCTCCCTGCAGTGTTTTATTGTGCGATCAGCAACACACACTCGTCGTTTATTTCTTATATAAGGTGTCAACATTATGTACAGCCTTTTAAAGGAAGTTCATAAAATGTACAAGCTTTAAAACTATTTACCCGTTTAAATAATGATGACTCCCTGAATACTTTCCGACCTCGGCAATGTCGGGCAAGTCCATTAACGAGCAGGGGGGTTAAGTGTGGTATTTCCCGAATATTCTTAAAATTTTAACGTGGATTATGTGTTCTTTTTCTCCCAGTACCAGTTGTCATCTCTCTTCCTCTTTTGGGTGAGGTCGTTCGGCCATTGCGTTTATCTAGGTTACCCAGGTACATCTATGGGGAACAACACACTTGACACTCCCCTCTCAAAAATAACGTCGCCCAATTAATTATCAATGTCGTCAAGTTGCGGGTATTGGTTCGAATCTTCCGAAATGATAGGAAAATGTTTTATCGTGAAATAAACCACGCTTCGCTCTTCATTGTTCTTTGCAATTTACTGTGTAGCTATCTGATATAACACCATCATCTCTCTCCCTGAAATATAGACCACCTTCCACTGTATTCTAGGACAAACACTAGACTACCTGAAATATAGACCCCCTCTCACTGTATTCTAGGACCATCACTAGACTCCCTGAAATATAGACCCCCTCTCACTGTATTCTTGGATCATCACTAGACTCCCTGAAATATAGACCCCCTCTCACTGTATTCTGGGACCATCACCTCTCTCCCTGAAATATAGACCCCCTCTCACTGTATTCTGGGACAATCACCTCTCTCCCTGAAATATAGACCCTCTCTCACTGTTCTGGGACCATCACCTCTCTCCCTGAAATATAGACCCCCTCTCATTGTATTCTGGGACCATCACTAGGCTCCCTGAAATATAGACCCCCTCTCACTGTATTCTGGGACCATCACTAGGCTCCCTGAAATATAGACCCCCTCTCACTGTATTCTTGGATCATCACTAGACTCCCTGAAATATAGACCCCCTCTCACTGTATTCTGGGACCATCACTAGGCTCCCTGAAATATAGACCCTCTCTCACTGTATTCTGGGACCATCACCTCTCTCCCTGAAATATAGACCCTCTCTCACTGTATTCTGGGACCATCACTAGACTCCCTGAAATATAGACCTCCTCTCACTGTATTATGGGACCATCACTAGGCTCCCTGAAATATAGTCCCCCTCTCACTGTATTCTGTGACCATCACTAGGCTCCCTGAAATATAGACCTCCTCTCACTGTATTCTGGGACCATCACTAGACTACCTGAAATATAGACCTCCTCTCACTGTATTATGGGACCATCACTAGGCTCCCTGAAATATAGTCCCCCTCTCACTGTATTCTGGGACCATCACTAGGCTCCCTGAAATATAGACCCCCTCTCACTGTATTCTGGGACCATCACTAGACTCCCTGAAATATAGACCTCCTCTCACTGTATTATGGGACCATCACTAGGCTCCCTGAAATATAGACCCCCTCTCACTGTATTCTTGGACTGTCACTTAACCCACTATAATACAGGCCTCATTCCTTTCCCGTGTCCGAACTGTCGCATACAAACTATGGATGACTTACAAACTTCGTTGTCTACGACAGCGCCAACCATTCTCAGGATGTTGCGGTGCTCGCCCACCTCATTCAGGTAATAGAGGATCTTGCCTTTCATCAGCTGGATGTCTTCGTCATCATAGTTCTCTGAGGAGATATGCAAAGTTCAACGTGAGTTCCGTAAACCAGTGAGTCATTCAGTCAGCCAGTGAGTCAATCAGTCAGCCAGTGATTCATTCCGTCAGTGAGTCAGTCAATCAGTCAGTCAGTGATTCATTCAGTCAGTCAGTGATTTATTCAGTCAGCCAGTGATTCATTCAGTCAGCCAGCGTTTCATTCAGTCAGCCAATGATTTATTCAGTCAGTCAGTGATTTATTCAGTCAGTCAGTGATTCATTCGGTCGGTGTGTGAGTCAATCAGTCAGCCAGTCAGTCAATCAGTCAGTGAGTGAGTCAGTCAGTCAGTGATTCATTCAGTCAGTCAGTGATTCAATCAGTCAGTCAGTGATTCATTCAGTCAGCCAGTGATTCACTCAGTCAGTCAGTGATTCATTCGATCAGTCAGTGATTCACTCAGTCAGTGAATACTTCAGTCAGTTAGTGGGTCAATCAGTCAGTGAGTGATTCAATCTGTGAGTGAGTCAATCAGTCAGCCAGTGATTCATTCAGTCATCCAGTGATTCATTCAGCCAGTGCATCATGCAGTCAATGAGTGAGTCAATCTGTCAGCCAGTGAATCATTAAGCCAGTGTATCAGTCAGTGAGTGTGTGGGTCAATCAGTCAGGCAGTGATTCATTCAGTCAGGCAGTGATTCATTCAGCCAGTGAATCATTCAGTGAGTGAGAGAGTCACTCAGTCAGCAAGTGAGTTATTCATCCAGTCAGTGATTCATACAGTCAGCCAGTGACTCATTCAGTATGTGAGTGAGTCAATCAGTCAGCTAGTGATTCATTGAGTCAGTCAGTGCGTCATACAGTCAGCCAATGATTCATTCAGTCATTGAGTGAGTCAATCAATCAGACAGTGAGTCATTCAGTCAGCCAGTGAATCATTCAGCCAGTGAGTAAATCAGTCAGTCAGTGATTCATTCAGTCAGCCAGTGAATCATTCAGCCAGTGAATCATTCAGCCAGTGAATCATTCGGTCAGTGGGTGAGTGAATCATTCAGCCAGTGAATCATTCAGTGAGTGAATCAATCAATCAGCCATTGATTCATTCAGTCACTGAGTGATTCATTCAGTCACTGAGTGAGTCATACAGTCAGCCAGTGAATCATTCCGTCACTGAGTGAGTCAATAAGTCAGCCAGTGAATCATTCAGCCAGTGATTCCTTCAGTCAGTGAGTGAGTCAATCAGTCAGTCAGTGATTCATTCAGTCAGTGAGCGAGGCAATCATTCGGCCATTGAATCATTCCGTCAGTGAGTGAGTCAACTAGTCAGCCAGTGAATCATTCAGTCAGTGAGCGAGTCAATCATTCAGCCAGTGAATCATTCCGTCAGTGAGTGAGTCAACTAGTCAGGCAGTGAATCATTCAGTCAGTGAGCGAGTCAATCAGTCAGGCAGTGATTCATACAGTTAGTGAGTGAGTCAATCGGTTAGTCAATGATTCAGTCAGTGAGTGAGTCATTCAGTCAGTCAGTGAGTCAATCAGTCAGTACGTGAGTCAATCAGTCAGTCTGTGAGTCAATCAGTCAGCCAGTGATTCATTCAGTCAGTAAGTGATTCAGTCAGTGAGTGAGTGAGTCAATCAGTCAGTGAGTGAGTCATTCAGTCAATCAGTGAGTCAATAAGTCAGACTTTATGTAAGGTATGCACATATAGAAACAGTGAACGATTCAAATATGTACCCAAACATGCAGGAAAGCCACGGAGTTACCCCCCGTGTGTACGAAAACATTCAAGCATTAAACCCCTGGTTTAAATCTGATGCAGTTGAAACACACGTTACGCCATGGTAATAGTTGTCATAGTAACCTTTCAGCATCTTAGCCACGACAGTCTCCGCGTCATTGCCTGCACGTGACAGGGTGGCCTTGTATATCTTGGCGAACTTGCCCTCGGTGATCAGCGTGTCGAGTGTCAGTCTCTCTGAAGACAGCTGCGTTCCTATCGGGATGTCGTAGTCGTTGCCACCGTACACATAGATGTCGTCATCAACGGCCTTGCCTCGTACCTGCGACCACGCATCGAGAAAAGGTTAATTATTGAACCAAATTGAATAAGTTATCAATTTATCAATATTAATTTTATTGCAAACAGTCATTAAATTTACAAGTAAGTGTACGATATAAATTTGAGATTAGAATGAAATCTCGTTGATCGGACGGTACCGCTATGTTCAAATGAATGTCAGGAAGGCGTAGCATCACAAATTGTACGTTATTACTTCTGTTGAAAGTTCAAAATTAGTTTAAAACTGAATTGTGAGCATGGTAACATCAGAGATGCATTGTGGGAAACCTTTCTGGACATCCGGGCGAAGGCGACAGCAGCTTTGCCGCGAGGCTTGGCTTCCTTCTTGCCCACAATGATGGCCAGGATGCCGAGATGCCACAGAAGGAACACGGCGACCGCGATCGCCACCAGCAGGATAACACCTGAACAAAAGATAAAACACGTGAGTGAGCTGAGTTTAAAGCCGCTTTGAACAGTATTTCAGTCGGGCGGTGATTCATGCACAGGTCTTGTACGTTCACCACCGTTGTGAAACCACGGACATGCGCATAGTGCACCTATAGTTGATCAAGATTAAATAATTCACATCCGACTGATCATATTGTCCGTGAAAGAGGAAAACTGTCCATATGGCTACGTCGCAGCGGTCGACATGAACCATCGTTGTGGTATAAGGTGACATGTTGATTCCCCAAGTGACTCAGGTGATACTCACACGGGTAGGCACTGACACACCGAGGGTCGTAATCGGGACTATCAAGCTAAGGGAGACAATTCACATGAAGGCGTGACGCCGAATTATTGATTGAAGGCGTTTAAGTACCACTGTGTTGGGCGTTGTGTAGAGGGTTAGAGTGTCAGGGGGTCAGAGGGTTAGAGTGTCAGGGGGTCAGAGGGTCAGGGGGTCAGGGGGTCAGAGGGTCAGGGGGTCGGCGTTATACATTGACCCTGGATGTGATCATTGTCGGTACTCTATATACCCGTCTGTTCCTTCATCAGTGTTTAAAACGTACACAAATGAGCGTCTGCCCGGAGAGCGGAAGGTCGGTGGTTCGATCCCCGGCCGCGTTGTACCGAAAGACGTTAAAATGTGCCTGCCTGGTGTTCGGCATTCCGGGGCTAAAAAAGGAGTCTCAGTGGGGTTTCCATATTGAACTGCGGCATGGGCTAGCGCTATAAAAAAACAACATTTGTCCGCACTTGCACAGACAGACAGAGAGACAGACACACATACATACACACACACACATGTATGCACGTCACTATACAAATGCAGCCATCTTGAACGAGACGTCACACCCCACTTGACCTCGCCTCACCGTCTACTGTGATCTGCTAAAACTACATTCTTCTTCATGCGGCGTTAAACCATACTTACTGATCGCCACGCCCGCCTTGCCCCCAGCAGTGAGGCCTGAGAACTCGGGGGCCGGTCCTGTGGACAGATAGTGGATAGTGTAGACAGGATACAGATAGACGGATAGTGTTGTAGATGATGCTAAACACAGGGCACAGACAGGCTACAGATAGACGGATAGTGTTGTAGATGATGCTAAACACAGGGCACAGACAGGATACAGATAGACGGTAAGTGTTGTAGATGATGCTATACACAGGGCACAGACAGGCTACAGATAGACGGATAGTGTTGTAGATGATGCTAAACACAGGGTAGAGACAGGCTACAGATAGACGGATAGTGTTGTAGATGATGCTAAACACAGGGCACAGAAAGGCTACAGATAGACGGATAGTGATGTAGATGATGCTATACACAGGGTATAGACAGGGTACAGATAGACAGATAGTGTTGTAGATGATGCTATACACAGGGTAGAGACAGGATACAGATAGACGGATAGTGTTGTAGATGATGCTATACACAGGGTAGAGACAGGCTACAGATAGACGGTAAGTGTTGTAGATGATGCTATACACAGGGTATAGACAGGGTACAGATAGACGGATAGTGTTGTAGATGATGCTATACACAGGGCACAGACAGGCTACAGATAGACGGATAGTGATGTAGATGATGCTATACACAGGCTATAGACAGGCTACAGATAGACAGATAGTGTTGTAGATGATGCTATACACAGGGTAGAGACAGGATACAGATAGACGGATAGTGTTGTAGATGATGCTATACACAGGGCACAGACAGGCTACAGATAGACGGATAGTGATGTAGATGATGCTATACACAGGCTATAGACAGGCTACAGATAGACAGATAGTGTTGTAGATGATGCTATACACAGTGTATAGAAAGGCTACAGATAGACGGATAGTGTTGTAGATGATGCTATACACAGAACACAGACAGGCTACAAATAGACGGATAGTGTTGTAGATGATGCTATACACAAGGTATAGACAGGCTACAGACAGACGGATAGTGTTGTAGATGATGCTAAACACAGGGTATAGACAGGCTACAGATAGACGGATAGTGTTGTAGATGATGCTAAACACAGGATAGAGACAGGCTACAGATAGACGGATAGTGTTGTAGATGATGCTAAACACAGGGTATAGACAGGATACAGATAGACGGATAGTGTTGTAGATGATGCTAAACACAGGGCACAGACAGGATACAGATAGACGGATAGTGTTGTAGATGATGCTATACACAGGGTAGAGACAGGCTACAGACAGACGGATAGTGTTGTAGATGATGCTATACACAGGGTATCGACAGGATACATATAGACGGATAGTGTTGTAGATGATGCTAAACACAGGGTATAGACAGGATACAGATAGACGGATAGTGTTGTAGATGATGCTAAACACAGAACACAGACAGGGTACAGATAGACGAATAGTGTTGTAGATGATGCTAAACACAGGGTATAGACAGGATACAGATAGACGGATAGTGTTGTAGATGATGCTAAACACAGAACACAGACAGGGTACAGATAGACGGATAGTGTTGTAGATGATGCTAAACACAGGGCACAGACAGGGTACAGATAGACGGATAGTGTTGTAGATGATGCTATACACAGGGTAGAGACAGGATACAGATAGACGGATATTGTTGTAGATGATGCTATACACAGGGTAGAGACAGGATACAGATAGACGGATAGTGTTGTAGATGATGCTATACACAGGGTAGAGACAGGATACAGATAGACGGATAGTGTTGTAGATGATGCTAAACACAGGGCACAGACAGGATACAGATAGACGGATAGTGTTATAGATGATGCTAAACACAGGGTATAGACAGGCTACAGATAGACGGATAGTGTTGTAGATGAAGCTAAACACAGGGTAGAGACAGGCTACAGATAGACGGATAGTGTTGTAGATGATGCTATACACAAGGTATAGACAGGCTACAGATAGACGGATAGTGTTGTAGATGATGCTATACACAAGGTATAGACAGGCTACAGACAGACGGATAGTGTTGTAGATGATGCTATACACAGGGTATAGACAGGATACAGATAGACGGATAGTGTTGTAGATGATGCTAAACACAGAACACAGACAGGCTACAGATAGACGGATAGTGTTGTAGATGATGCTATACACAGGGTAGAGACAGGCTACAGATAGACGGATAGTGTTGTAGATGATGCTAAACACAGGGCACAGACAGGATACAGATAGACGGATAGTGTTGTAGATGATGCTATACACAGGGTAGAGACAGGATACAGATAGACGGATAGTGTTGTAGATGATGCTAAACACAGGGCACAGACAGGATACAGATAGACGGATAGTGTTGTAGATGATGCTAAACACAGGGCACAGACAGGCTACAGATAGACGGATAGTGATGTAGATGATGCTATACACAGGCTATAGACAGGCTACAGATAGACAGATAGTGTTGTAGATGATGCTATACACAGGGTATAGAAAGGCTACAGATAGACGGATAGTGTTGTAGATGATGCTATACACAGGGTAGAGACAGGATACAGATAGACGGATAGTGTTGTAGATGATGCTATACACAGGGTAGAGACAGGATACAGATAGACGGATAGTGTTGTAGATGATGCTATACACAGGGTAGAGACAGGATACAGATAGACGGATAGTGTTGTAGATGATGCTAAACACAGGGCACTGACAGGATACAGATAGACGGATAGTGTTGTAGATGATGCTAAACACAGGGCACAGACAGGCTACAGATAGACGGATAGTGATGTAGATGATGCTATACACAGGCTATAGACAGGCTACAGATAGACAGATAGTGTTGTAGATGATGCTATACACAGGGTATAGAAAGGCTACAGATAGACGGATAGTGTTGTAGATGATGCTATACACAGGGTGGGGACAGGATACAGATAGACGGATAGTGTTGTAGATGATGCTAAACACAGGGCACAGACAGGATACAGATAGACGGATAGTGTTGTAGATGATGCTATACACAGGGTAGAGACAGGATACAGATAGACGGATAGTGTTGTAGATGATGCTAAACACAGGGCACAGACAGGATACAGATAGACGGATAGTGTTGTAGATGATGCTAAACACAGGGTACAGACAGGCTACAGATAGACGGATAGTGATGTAGATGATGCTATACACAGGCTATAGACAGGCTACAGATAGACAGATATTGTTGTAGATGATGCTATACACAGGGTATAGAAAGGCTACAGATAGACGGATAGTGTTGTAGATGATGCTATACACAGGGTGGGGACAGGATACAGATAGACGGATAGTGTTGTAGATGATGCTATACACAGGGTAGATACAGGATACAGATAGACGGATAGTGTTGTAGATGATGCTATACACAGGGTAGAGACAGGATACAGATAGACGGATAGTGTTGTAGATGATGCTATACACAGGGTAGAGACAGGATACAGATAGACGGATAGTGTTGTAGATGATGCTAAACACAGAACACAGACAGGGTACAGATAGACGGATAGTGTTGTAGATGATGCTATACACAGTGTAGAGACAGGATACAGATAGACGGATAGTGTTGTAGATGATGCTATACACAGGGTAGAGACAGGATACAGATAGACGGATAGTGTTGTAGATGATGCTATACACAGGGTAGAGACAGGATACAGATAGACGGATAGTGTTGTAGATGATGCTATACACAGGGTAGAGACAGGATACAGATAGACGGATAGTGTTGTAGATGATGCTATACACAGGGTAGAGACAGGATACAGATAGACGGATAGTGTTGTAGATGATGCTATACACAGTGTAGAGACAGGCTACAGATAGACGGATAGTGATGTAGATGATGCTATACACAGGCTATAGACAGGGTACAGATAGACGGATAGTGTTGTAGATGATGCTAAACACAGGGTATAGAAAGGCTACAGATAGACGGATAGTGTTGTAGATGATGCTAAACACAGGGTATAGACAGGCTACAGATAGACGGATAGTGATGTAGATGATGCTATACACAGGCTATAGACAGGGTACAGATAGACGGATAGTGTTGTAGATGATGCTAAACACAGGGTATAGAAAGGCTACAGATAGACGGATAGTGTTGTAGATGATGCTAAACACAGGCTATAGACAGGCTACAGATAGACGGATAGTGTTGTAGATGATGCTTAACACAGGGCACAGACAGGATACAGATAGACGGATAGTGTTGTAGATGATGCTAAACACAGGGCACAGACAGGATACAGATAGACGGATAGTGTTGTAGATGATGCTAAACACAGGGCACAGACAGGATACACACTTCTTGTTTCTTTCATTTTAGTCACTGTCAAATGACTTATTTTGCCCGGCAGGACACAGTCGTTGAAGTGTATGTCATTGTAAAAATCCACTTCAATAGGTCTGTTAAAAATTTATGGATAAAGAATATCTATTTTTTTCAACATGTTTCTTAAGTGCGCCGAAGTTCTGTCTCCGCATCCCCTCTCAACCTAAGCCCCCTCCGTGCAAGAGTGAGTGAGTGAGTATGGTTTTACGCCGCTTTTAGCAATATTCCAGCAATATCACGGCGGGGGACACCAATAATGGGCTTCACACATTGTACCCATGTTGGGAATCGAACCCGGGTCTTCGGCGTGACGAGCGAACGCTTTAACCACTAGGCTACCCGACCGCCGTTGTATAATATCATTCTTTAACCGTACAAGTTTTAACTGGACTCCAAGATCCGACCTCCTGCCTGTGTATTGGTGACAGCGGTGTCCGCCCCGGGAACACTGGTCTCTCAGTCCTGCTGGGTGTTCTGTCACGTGATTACCAGGCGTGAACACCTGGTGTCATCACTGAGTTTCAGTGGCCCTGTCATACAAGTTTCACAGCTATTTTGCCCTATACGCCAAATGGAATCTGTTTCTGCGGATCATCAACACTTAGTCTAGTTAATCTATAACATCCACATGTTGTGTTACATGGTACCATTTCTACCTAATTCTATCGGCAACAGACCTGTGAAGATCCGGAGTGGAATAGGCCTTCAGCAACCCACTAATTCCAGCTGTTGTGATGTACAGTGATATTAGGTTTACCAGTGAAGATCTAGGGTAGAAAAGGACTTCAGCAACCCAGTAATCCCAGCTGTTGTGGTGAGCTACTAAACACTGTACAGTGATACTAGGTTTACCAGTGAAGATCTAGGGTAGAATAGGACTTCAGCAACCTAAGCTTGTCGTAATAGGCGACTAACGTATCATGTCATATCAGCTGTCATCGTATCAGGCCGTATCAGCTATCATCGTATCAGGTCATATCAACTGGCATCGTATATAAGAGGCGACTAACGGGATCGATGCTCATGATGTCAATCACTGGGTTGTCTAATCCAGACGCGATTACGTACAGACTGTCGTCATATAAGAGTGGTAAGAGGTTTATGTGTAATGTACCATATATCTACAAACCTGTCCTAAATTGGAACGCCACCGAGTCACTCATCTCCCCGCCGTATCCATTTATAAGATGGGCCGTGTAGTTAGTCTCGGGCTGGAGACCGGTCAGGTCGTAGAAGGTGTTGAGACGATGGATCTTCTCCTTGACGGCCGCCCCCGTGTAGTTGATCCACAGTTCGCTGACGTTGTAGCAGCTGGGGGAGTTGGTCCAGGAGATGCGGACCGTGTTGTATCCGCCCCGGATAACTCGCACATCATGTGGGGGAGCGTCTGGTGACAGGGGTGGAGTGGTGAGAAATGAATAGGACTGGTGAATTTGTTGGCACAACGGAAGTTAGTACATGCATTATCAGTAGAATTGTGTCTAAGATGCACACAGACCAACTTCTAAAGTTGGGAAGGGGAACTTATAGTGTCGCGCTGGTAGGGGAGGTACAATACATACATGGGGTGAGTGAGTGAGTGAGTGAGTTGGGTTTAACTCCGTTTTTAACATTATTCCAGTTATATCACGGCGTGCCAGCTTAATGTTGGAAGAAAGCCCGAAGTGATGCAGGTCTCAGACGTTTACCACTTCAATGAAACCCACGGGCAGAGTATGGTACTGACAAAGCTGGAAACATAATCGGTGCGACCCGGGATTCGAACCCACAATCATAAGTTTCTGTTGTGCCCAAGGGACGCAACTCTGCACAGCAAATCGCCTTGGACGATATTAGGTAGAACCAATAGTTTAGGTACAACACGTACCAGGTTGCGGAGGGAGAGCATGTATACAAGCTTGAACTGGTAATTCAATTGCGACAGGTAGATTAAGTAACTAGCACGTGTAGGGCTGGGAGAACAGGTAGAATACCAGGAACGGTCGAACAGGGCGTGTAGACAGGAGGAGTAGCGTTAGAATGTCAACAGGTTGGGGGACACACGAATGTAAGAGAGGGGCCAGAGTGAAGTGTTGATCACAGCCTACAGCAGGCAGTAGGTATAACATTTGGAAGTCTGTAGTTAACAACATGCAACTACATTAGTTTAAGAAAGAGAATTTATGGATGTCAACTTCTGTATTATGAGGAACACAACGTTTCGGAGTACAGGGGAAGAAGGAGTAAGGATATACTCCGAAACGTTGTGTTTCTCATAATAAAGAAGTTGACATCCATAAATTTCTCTTCCTTTTTGTGTATCACTTCTAAATGCCTTTCAAAGACAACATTAGTTTAGAATAAAAGACGACACATAGACGTCGGAATACTTACATTCACCTATTCCACTGAAACTGTTGATGTTCGTTATCTGAAAATAGGAACAATTTATTTAAACCTTTGAACCAATGTTCCGTTTAGAACTTGGAGCTTTCCACGAGAGACCGACAGCCTCCCTTGACAAGACTGTGACAGCCTCCCTTGACAAGACTGTGACAGCCTCCCTTGACAAGACTGTGACAGCCTAACCCAGGCGTAACTCATCAGTCTAGATTACAACCTGAGGATTGTTATTGCAAAATAATATAAATATACATATATGTGTGCATTTTCTCACTTCCATATTAATTTTGCAACACGACAGAAGTGCATATAGTGACCTGGAGAGAGCTTGTCGTGCTGAGCATGGCGGGGTTGGTGACCTTGACCGTCAGGGTTATGACCTCTGTAGCGATACTCTCCTTCTCCACCCTCAGCCAGCAATGGTTGATGGGGATGCTGACGGTGCTGCGGAAGCAGTCGTTGGATGACGTGCAGCGGCCTAACGCGGGATCTGCGTCGTACTCGGCTTTCTGGGGATGGAGATTAAGGGGACACTGTAATACACTAACGTGGCTCTCCTTAAACAACCCTTAAGTTACTGAACGCTACACTTCAACACATCCCTAAAGATTCATATAGGATGACGTTGCCATGGTGACAAGTATTTCATTGTGAGAGTTTATCTGTATCTGGATACAGATATGTCCGTTTGTTTGTTGAGGTGAAACCAGCAATGGAAAATAATTTGTGACTTAATGTTTTGACAGGTTCTATTGGACTACTTAACTGTTGGCACAACAGAGGCATCAAGGCAAATATATGTATTTGGAATCAAAATAAGGCTAAGTATAGTTTGTGCCGTGTTCGGCATCTCATGGGTAGTTACCACTTACATTAAGTTTGCACGTGCGGTTAATTTGTAATTAAGATCTGTTAGATCATGGGGTCTGTTTGTACTATGCTAATCGTAAGAGGCGACTAACGGGATCGGGTGGTCAGGCTCGCTGACTTGGTTCATGCATGTCATCGTATCCCAATTGCGTGGATCTATGCTCATGATGTCAATCACATGATCGTCTGGTCCAGACTCGATTATTAACAGACCGCCGTCATGTAGCTGGAATATTGCTTAGTATGGCGTTGAACAATAAACAAGCATACGGTCTGTTTGACCATACGGCCTGTTTAATCTTATGTTCTATTTGTACATACGATCTGTTTGATCTTACGGTCTATTTGTACATGTGGTCTATTTGATCTTACGGTCTGTACATACGGTCTGTTTGTACACACGGTCTGTTTGATCTTTCGGTCTGTTTGTACATGCGGTTGTTCGATTTTTCGGTCTGTTTGTACATTTGGTTTGTTTGACCTTATGGTCTAGTTGTACATACGGTCCGTGTGATCTTATGGTATGTTTGTTCATGTGGTCTGCTTGATCGTATGGTCTGTTTGTACATACGGTGATCTTACGGTGTATTTGTACATACGGTCTGTTTGATCTTATGATCTAGTTGTACATACGGTCTGTTGGATCTTTCGGTCTGTTTGTACATATGATCTGTTTAATCTTACGATATGTTTCTTCATAAAATCTGTTTCATCTTTCAGTCGAGTTGTACATACGATCTGTTTGATTTTTCCAGTCTGTTTGTACATACGGTCGGTTTGATCTCATGATTTACTTATGCATATGGTCTGTTTGATCTTTTGGTCTACTTATACATACGGTCTATTTGATCTTTTGGTCTAGTTGTACCTGTTTGATCTCAGGGTGTATTTGTGCATAAGGTCTGGTGATCTTATGGTCTACTTGTACGTAGGGTCTGTTTGTACATATAGTCACATTGATCTTTTGTTCTAGTTGTACATATGGTCTGTTTCATCTTACGGTGTATTTGTGATTGTGGTCTGTCGATCTTATGGTCTAGCTGTACATACGGTCTGATGATATTTTGGACTGTTTGTACATACGGTCTGTTTGATCTTTTAATCTGTTTGTACATAAGGTCTGTTTGATCTTATGGTCTGTTTGATCTTACGGCCTAGTTGAACATACGATCTGTTTGATCTTTCGATGTACTTGTACATACAGTCTGTTTGACCTTTTGGTCTATTTGTACATACGGTCTGTTTGATCTTTTGGTCCAGTTGTACATATGGTCTGATATTTTGGACTGTTTGTACATACAGTCTGTTTGCACATACAGTCTCTTTGATCTTACGGTCTGTTTCTTCATATGATCTGTTTGGACATACGGTCAGTTCGTAATTACGGTCTATTTTCACTCACGGTCTGGTTAACTTATGTCCTGTTTGTACATACAGTATTACGGTTTATTTTCACTCAAGGTTTGGTTTAACTTATGGTCTGTTTGTACATACGGTCAGTTCGTAATTACAGTCTACTTTCACTCACGGTCTGGTTAACTTATGGTCTCTTTGTACATACGGTCAGTTCGTAATTACGGTTTATTTTCACTCAAGGTCTGGTTTAACATATGGTCTGTTTGTACATACGGTATTACGGTTTAATTTCACTCAAGGTCTGGTTAACTTATGGTCTGTTTGTACATACGGGCAGTTCGTCATTGCGGTCTATATTTTACTCACGGTCTGGTTAACTTATGGCCTGTTTGTACATACGGGCAGTTCGTCATTACGGTATATATTTAACTCACGGTCTGGTTAACTTATGGTCTGTTTGTACATACGGTCGGTTCGTAATTACGGTCTATTTTCACTCACGGTCTGGTTAAACCTATGGTCTGTTTGTACATACGGTCAGTTCGTCATTACGGTCTATATTTTACTCACGGTCTGGTTAACTTATGGTCTGTTTGTACATACGGTCAGTTCGTCATTACGGTCTATATTTTACTCAAGGTCTGGTTAACTTATGGTCTGTTTGTACATACGGTCAGTTCGTAATTACGGTCTATTTTCACTCACGGTCTGGTTAAACCTATGGTCTGTTTGTACATACGGTCAGTTCGTCATTACGGTCTATATTTTACTCACGGTCTGGTTAACTTATGGTCTGTTTGTACATACGGTCAGTTCGTCATTACGGTCTATATTTTACTCACGGTCTGGTTAACTTATGGTCTGTTTGTACATACGGTCAGTTCGTCATTACGGTCTATATTTTACTCACGGTCTGGTTAACTTATGGTCTGTTTGTACATACGGTCAGTTCGTCATTACGGTCTATATTTTACTCACGGTCTGGTTAACTTATGGTCTGTTTGTAAATACGGTCAGTTCGTAATTACGGTCTATTTTCACTCACGGTCTGGTTAAATCTATGGTCTGTTTGTACATACGGTCAGTTCGTCATTACGGTCTATTTTCACACACGGTCTGGTTAACATATGGTCTGTTTGTACTTTCATTTTGTGTTGACCTACATTCAGTGTGTACTGTGTCCGATCCAGCGTCCCTTTGCGCGCCACCTTCCCCGTGCTGTTCCGTACAAGACGCCAGGTGACCTCCCACAGTCCGCTGTCGTCATCTATAGCCGTCAGGGGCACGCTGTAATACATTAACATGGCCATCCTTGAAAAAACGTTAAGTTACTTGACGCTTTCAACTACAGCTCTTTCTCACCGACAGATACCCAGAATCCTATAAGTTGTCGTGGCCACAGCGGGGAATCCAGTACGTTATAAGTGACGTAAAAACATGGCCAAACTTACATAGAGGGTGATGTTCTCACAGGCGAGGTGAAATGGGGTTTAAGGTCGCGTCCAAGATTATTGCACTTATATAGCGACGTGCGTGTGCTTGTACTAGTCCGAACTGATGCCGATTTTATAGTGCCAGCCCACTGAGATACCCTGCCGCAGTTTAACAAGTAACACTTGTCACGTCTTTTGGTATGACGCTGCCAGGGATCGAACCCCCCCACCTTCCGCTCCCCCGGCGGACGCTCTACCACTAGACCACGGAGGCGGTCGATATACTCTCAGAGAGGATGATAAACTTTTAGAGAGGAGTTACACTCACAGGGAGGATGATATACTTGCAGAGAGGAGTTACACTCACAGGGAGGATGATATACTTACAGAGAGGAGTTACACTCACAGGGAGGATGATATACTTACAGAGAGGAGTTACACTCACAGGGAGGAGGATGTACTTAAAGAAATGAGTTACACTCACAGGGAGGATGATATACTTGCAGAGAGGAGTTACACTCACAGGGAGGATGATATACTTACAGAGAGGAGTTACACTCACAGGGAGGATGCTATACTTACAGAGAGGAGTTACACTCACAGGGAGGATGATATACTTGCAGAGAGGAGTTACACACACAAGGAGGATGATATACTTGCAGAGAGGAGTTACACTCACAGGGAGGATGATATACTTGCAGAGAGGAGTTACACTCACAGGGAGGATGATATACTTGCAGAGAGGAGTTACACTCACAGGGAGGATGATATACTTGCAGAGAGGAGTTACACTCACAGGGAGGAGGATATACTTACAGAGAGGAGTTACACTCACAGGGAGGAGGATATACTTACAGAGAGGAGTTACACTCACAGGGAGGATGATATACTTGCAGAGAGGAGTTACACTCACAGGGAGGATGATATACTTGCAGAGAGGAGTTACACTCACAGGGAGGATGATATACTTCCAGAGAGGAGTTACACTCACAGGGAGGATGATATACTTACAGAGAGGAGTTACACTCACAGGGAGGATGATATACTTACAGAGAGGAGTTACACTCACAGGGAGGATGATATACTTACAGAGAGGAGTTACACTCACAGGGAGGAGGATGTACTTAAAGAAATGAGTTACACTCACAGGGAGGATGATATACTTGCAGAGAGGAGTTACACTCACAGGGAGGATGATATACTTGCAGAGAGGAGTTACACTCACAGGGAGGATGATATACTTACAGAGAGGAGTTACACTCACAGGGAGGATGATATACTTACAGAGAGGAGTTACACTCACAGGGAGGATGATATACTTGCAGAGAGGAGTTACACTCACAGGGAGGATGATATACTTACAGAGAGGAGTTACACTCACAGGGAGGAGGATATACTTACAGAGAGGAGTTACACTCACAGGGAGGAGGATATACTTACAGAGATGAGTTACACTCACAGGGAGGATGATATACTTGCAGAGAGGAGTTACACTCACAGGGAGGATGATATACTTGCAGAGAGGAGTTACACTCACAGGGAGGATGATATACTTGCAGAGAGGAGTTACACTCACAGGGAGGATGATATACCTACAGAGAGGAGTTACACTTACAGGGAGGATGATATACTTACAGAGATGAGTTACACTCACAGGGAGGAGGATATACTTACAGAGAGGAGTTACACTCAGAGGGAGGATGATATACTTACAGAGATGAGTTACACTCGCAGGGAGGAGGATATACTTACAGAGAGGAGTTACACTCACAGGGAGGATGATATACTTACAGAGAGGAGTTACACTCACAGGGAGGATGATATACTTACAGAGAGGAGTTACACTCACAGGGAGGAGGATATACTTACAGAGAGGAGTTACACTCACAGGGAGGATGATATACTTACAGAGAGGAGTTACACTCACAGGGAGGAGGATATACTTACAGAGAGGAGTTACACTCACAGGGAGGAGGATATACTTACAGAGATGAGTTACACTCACAGGGAGGATGATATACTTGCAGAGAGGAGTTACACTCACAGGGAGGATGATATACTTGCAGAGAGGAGTTACACTCACAGGGAGGATGATATACTTGCAGAGAGGAGTTACACTCACAGGGAGGATGATATACTTACAGAGAGGAGTTACACTCACAGGGAGGATGATATACTTACAGAGAGGAGTTACACTCACAGGGAGGAGGATATACTTACAGAGATGAGTTACACTCACAGGGAGGATGATATACTTGCAGAGAGGAGTTACACTCACAGGGAGGATGATATACTTGCAGAGAGGAGTTACACTCACAGGGAGGATGATATTCTTGCAGAGAGGAGTTACACTCACAGGGAGGATGATATACTTACAGAGAGGAGTTACACTCACAGGGAGGATGATATACTTACAGAGAGGAGTTACACTCACAGGGAGGATGATATACCTACAGAGAGGAGTTACACTCACAGGGAGGATGATATACTTACAGAGATGAGTTACACTAACAGGGAGGAGGATATACTTGCAGAGAGTAGTTACACTCACAGGGAGGATGATATACTTACAGAGATGAGTTACACTGACAGGGAGGATGATATACTTGCAGAGAGGAGTTACACTCACAGGGAGGATGATATACTTGCAGAGAGGAGTTACACTCACAGGGAGGATGATATACTTACAGAGAGGAGTTACACTCACAGGGAGGATGATATACTTACAGAGAGGAGTTACACTCACAGGGAGGATGATATACTTACAGAGAGGAGTTACACTCACAGGGAGGATGATATACTTACAGAGAGGAGTTACACTCACAGGGAGGAGGATATACTTAAAGAAATGAGTTACACTCACAGGGAGGATGATATACTTGCAGAGAAGAGTTACACTCACAGGGAGGATGATATACTTACAGAGAGGAGTTACACTCACAGGGAGGATGATATACTTACAGAGAGGAGTTACACTCACAGGGAGGATGATATACTTACAGAGAGGAGTTACACTCACAGGGAGGATGATATACTTGCAGAGAGGAGTTACACTCACAGGGAGGATGATATACTTACAGAGAGGAGTTACACTCACAGGGATGATGATATACTTACAGAGAGGAGTTACACTCACAGGGAGGAGGATATACTTACAGAGATGAGTTACACTCACAGGGAGGATAATATACTTGCAGAGAGGAGTTACACTCACAGGGAGGATGATATACTTGCAGAGAGGAGTTACACTCACAGGGAGGAGGATATACTTACAGAGAGGAGTTACACTCACAGGGAGGAGTATATACTTACAGAGAGGAGTTACACTCACAGGGAGGATGATATACTTGCAGAGAGGAGTTACACTCACAGGGAGGATGATATACTTACAGACAGGAGTTACACTCACAGGGAGGAGGATATACTTACAGAGAGGAGTTACACTCACAGGGAGGATGATATACTTACAGAGAGGAGTTACACTCACAGGGAGGAGGATATACTTACAGAGAGGAGTTACACTCACAGGGAGGATGATATACTTGCAGAGAGGAGTTACACTCACAGGGAGGATGATATACTTACAGAGAGGAGTTACACTCACAGGGAGGATGATATACTTGCAGAGAGGAGTTACACTCACAGGGAGGATGATATACTTGCAGAGAAGAGTTACACTCACAGGGAGGATGATATACTTACAGAGAGGAGTTACACTCACAGGGAGGATGATATACTTACAGAGAGGAGTTACACTCACAGGGAGGATGATATACTTGCAGAGAGGAGTTACACTCACAGGGAGGATGATATACTTACAGAGAGGAGTTACACTCACAGGGAGGATGATATACTTGCAGAGAGGAGTTACACTCACAGGGAGGATGATATACTTACAGAGAGGAGTTACACTCACAGGGAGGATGATATACTTACAGAGAGGAGTTACACTCACAGGGAGGAGGATATACTTACAGAGATGAGTTACACTCACAGGGAGGATGATATACTTGCAGAGAGGAGTTACACTCACAGGGAGGAGGATATACTTAAAGAAATGAGTTACACTCACAGGGAGGATGATATACTTGCAGAGAGGAGTTACACTCACAGGGAGGATGATATACTTACAGAGAGGAGTTACACTCACAGGGAGGAGGATATACTTACAGAGATGAGTTACACTCACAGGGAGGATGATATACTTGCAGAGAGGAGTTACACTCACAGGGAGGATGATATACTTACAGAGAGGAGTTACACTCACAGGGAGGAGGATATACTTACAGAGAGGAGTTACACTCACAGGGAGGATGATATACTTACAGAGAGGAGTTACACTCACAGGGAGGAGGATATACTTACAGAGAGGAGTTACACTCACAGGGAGGATGATATACTTACAGAGAGGAGTTACACTCACAGGGAGGATGATATACTTACAGAGAGGAGTTACACTCACAGGGAGGAGGATATACTTACAGAGAGGAGTTACACTCACAGGGAGGATGATATACTTACAGAGAGGAGTTACACTCACAGGGAGGAGGATATACTTACAGAGAGGAGTTACACTCACAGGGAGGAGGATATACTTACAGAGAGGAGTTACACTCACAGGGAGGATGATATACTTACAGAGAGGAGTTACACTCACAGGGAGGAGGATATACTTACAGAGATGAGTTACACTCACAGGGAGGATGATATACTTGCAGAGAGGAGTTACACTCACAGGGAGGATGATATACTTGCAGAGAGGAGTTACACTCACAGGGAGGATGATATACTTACAGAGAGGAGTTACACTCACAGGGAGGAGGATATACTTACAGAGAGGAGTTACACTCACAGGGAGGATGATATACTTGCAGAGAGGAGTTACACTCACAGGGAGGATGATATACTTGCAGAGAGGAGTTACACTCACAGGGAGGATGATATACTTACAGAGAGGAGTTACACTCACAGGGAGGAGGATATACTTACAGAGAGGAGTTACACTCACAGGGAGGATGATATACTTACAGAGAGGAGTTACACTCACAGGGAGGAGGATATACTTACAGAGAGGAGTTACACTCACAGGGAGGATGATATACTTACAGAGAGGAGTTACACTCACAGGGAGGATGATATACTTACAGAGAGGAGTTACACTCACAGGGAGGAGGATATACTTACAGAGATGAGTTACACTCACAGGGAGGATGATATACTTGCAGAGAGGAGTTACACTCACAGGGAGGATGATATACTTGCAGAGAGGAGTTACACTCACAGGGAGGATGATATACTTACAGAGAGGAGTTACACTCACAGGGAGGATGATATACTTGCAGAGAGGAGTTACACTCACAGGGAGGATGATATACTTACAGAGATGAGTAATGGTACGTCCCATTCTGCACATTTTTTTCCAATTCTTGCAGCTTGACAACTGGATTGGAGTTATCAAAGCTGACCAGTGTGCTATCTATCTTCGTATTATTGATAATGTCCGTCGCCCGCACCCAAACACGGATACTGTCACCGTTGATTCGGTTTTCATTTCTAATCACAAATCTTTCCCCAACTGGTTGTACCTGGCTCCATGTTTTTGGGGAGGATAATGTGGACCCCCCGGCATGGTCCCGACCATAGGACACTTCAAACTTCACAATACCGCGGACATTGGGGATTGCAGCACGAGTTCTCTCCCCTTCATCGTCATCGAACGTTACACCTTTGAGAGTGAACCGACTGGAAGAGCCGACTTCTTTTTCGATGTCTGCAAACTGAGTGGGGTACCTCAGCACTGCGTTCAAAAATTTGCCCTTGTCGTGAACGTCGTTAGCGAAGTGTCCTCCCCATTCCACGACAACGTCGGCGTCGAGGTTCGCCTGCCACGTGTGACCAGTGTCTGCTGCAGCGCTAGATATGAACAGCGGGTCGTTGTCGCTGGTGGTGACGTTGGAGACGTTGTCGTACAGAAACAGTCGCCGGGCGTACCGCGAGTTGTTGGCTCGGTCCGAGGCCTCCAAGATGACGGAGTACATGCCGGGTGTAGGCGGGGGATACTCCACCCGGGGGGTGCCGTTAGCTGCCAGCCACTCCCTATTGATGAGGGGTTCGAGGGGCGTCTTCTCCCCCAGCTTGCTGTCCGCGGTGATGATGTCAAGTCGGAACACCTCCCATGCATAGCGGTGCATACCAGACAGATCGTCCGTCCAGCCACCCCAAGTAATTGCGACTGGAGTCTACAACAGATATGTGACAAGTGAGTAAGTCCGGTTTTACGCCGCTTTCAGCAATATTACAGCAATATCATGGGCGGGGGATGAGCTTCACTCTCAGACAATCCAGTGACTGATATTATGAGCAACGCTGGCAGGGTACGATGGCACGCTATATCAGTCAAGTAACGTCGCCTATTTTAACCAGTATTGGTTGCTGAGGACATTTGCTATCAGGAATCCCCATGGAAAGAACTGATACGATGACGGCTGATATGACCTGATGCGATGACAACTGAAAGGGCCTGATACGATGACAGCTGGTATGACCTGATACGATGATAGCTGATAGGACTTGATACGATGATAGCTGATAGGACCTGATACGGTGATAGCTGATATGACCTGATACAGTGATAGCTGATAGGACCTGATACGGTGACAGCTGATAGGACCTGATACGGTGATAGCTGATAGGACCTGATACAGTGATAGCTGATAGGACCTGATACGGTGACAGCTGATATGACCTGATACGGTGATAGCTGATATGACCTGATACGGTGACAGCTGATATGACCTGATACAGTGATAGCTGATAGGACCTGATACGGTGACAGCTGATAGGACCTGATACGGTGATAGCTGATAGGACCTGATACAGTGATAGCTGATAGGACCTGATACGGTGACAGCTGATATGACGTGATACGGTGACAGCTGATAGGACCTGATACGGTGACAGCTGATATGACCTGATACGGTGACAGATGATATGGTTAGGACTGAAACATGAGCGTTGGATTGGTTGGAGGTGAGAGGGTTAAAGTCTTAGTGTTGGATGGATGGGCGTGTACTGGGGGACTCACTCGTGTAATATCCCTGTCTATGTGTAGTGGTGATGTACGGCAGGACGGTTGACTGTAGCAGTGTTCAGGTTTATTCAGGTCGAACTTGAACATGAGCGTCTTTGATGAAGTCAGCTGAGTGTAGTCCTCGTTCTTGAAGAAAATTCCAGTTTCCTGGTTGACCAGCTCCCTGCGTCCCCCACTGGTGAAGGTCAGGGTCACTTCAATCCTACGAAACGTGAAACGTATCCTTTAATTCACCCTTCGTTAACAGCACACCAGCTACAGTATTTACTTACTAGCTGTTTATCTCAAGTAATCCTTTTACAATGCAGCTAGGTCCCTATATTATTAATCTTTGTCATCATCTAAACATCTATATTATCACCCTCAACTAAGTCTCTCTAGACATCTGTATTATCACCCCACTAGACATCAATATTATCACCCCACTAGGCATCTGTATTATCACCCCACCAGACATCTGTATTATCACCCAACTAGACATCTGTATTATCACCCAACTAGGCATCTGTATTATCACCCCACTAGACATCTGTATTATCACCCCACTAGACATCTATATTATCACCCCACTAGACATCTGTATTATCACCCCACTAGACATCTGTATTATCACCCCACTAGACATCTATATTATCACCCCACTAGACATCTGTATTATCACCCAACTAGACATCTGTATTATCACCCCACCAGACATCTGTATTATCACCCCACTAGACATCTGTATTATCACCCAACTAGGCATCTGTATTATCACCCCACTAGACATCTGTATTATCACCCCACTAGACATCTATATTATCACCCCACTAGACATCTGTATTATCACCCCACTAAACATCTATATTATCACCCCACTAGGCATCTGTATTATCAACCCACCAGACATCTGTATTATCACCCAACTAGACATCTGTATTATCACCCCACTAGGCATCTGTATAATCACCCAACTAGACATCTGTATTATCACCCCACCAGACATCTGTATTATCACCCAACTAGGCATCTGTATTATCACCCCACTAGACATCTGTATTATCACCCAACTTGGCATCTGTATTATCACCCCACTAGACATCTGTATTATCACCCCACCAGACATCTGTATTATCACCCCACTAGACATCTGTATTATCACCCCACCAGACATCTGTATTATCACCCAACTAGGCATCTGTATTATCAACCCACTAGACATCTATATTTACACCCCACTAAACATCTGTATTATCACCCAACAAGGCATCTGTATTATCAACCCACTAGACATCTATATTATCACCCCAATAAACATCTGTTTTATCACCCAACTAGGCATCTGTATTATCATGCAACTAGACATCAATATTATCAACCCACTAGACATCTGTATTATCACCCGACTAGACATCTATATTATCACCCCACTAGACATCTGTATTATCACCCAACTAGGCATCTGTATTATCATCCAACTAGACATCCATATTATCAACCCACTAGACATCTGTATTATCACCCTACTAGACATCAATATTATCAACCCACTAGACACCTATATTATCACCCCACCAGGCATCAGTATTATCACTCCACTAAACATCTATATTATCACCCCACTAAACATCTATATTATCACCGCACTAGACATCTATATTATCACCCCACTAGACATCTATATTATCACCCCACTAGACCCTATATTATCGACCCTGTCGTTCTCTATATTATCACTCCTGTCGTTCTCTACATTATCACCCAAGTCGTTATCTATATTATCACCCAAGTAATTCTCTGTATTATCACCCCTGTCGTTCTCTATATTATCACCCAAGTAATTCTCTTTATTATCACCCCTGTCGTTCTCTATATTATCACCCAAGTAATTCTCTGTATTATCACCCCTGTCGTTTTCTATATTATCACCCCACTAGACATCTTTATTATCACTCCAGTCGTTATCTATATTATCACCCAAGTGGTACTCCATATTATCAACCCTGTTGTTCTCTGTATTATCACCAAAGTCGTCAACATGATAACTTCCTGTTGTTCTCTATATTACCACCCACATCAATCTCTATAGTATCACCAAAGTCAATCTCTGTATTATCACCTCTGTCGTTCTCTATATTATCACCCAAGTAATTCCCTGTATTATCACCCAAGTCATTCTCTGTATTATCACCTCTGTCGTTCTCTATATTATCACCCAAGTAATTCTCTGTATTATCGCCCCAGTGGTTCTCTATATTATCACCCAAGTCATTCTCTGTACTATCACCCAAGTCATTCTCTGTATTATCACCCAAGTCATTCTCTGTATTGTCACCCCAGCAGTTCTCTATATTATCACCCAAGTCGTTCTCTATATTATCACCCAAGTCGTTCTCTATATTATCACCCAAGTCATTCTCTATATTATCACCCAAGTCGTTCTCTATATTATCACCCAAGTCGTTCTCTATATTATCACCCCCGTGGTTCTCTATATGATCACCCAAGTTTAAAACGTAGTTCTCTATATTATCACCCCAGTCGTTCTCTATATTATCAGCCCAGTCGTTCTCTATATTATCACCCCCGCAGTTCTCTATATTATCACCCAAGTCATTCTCTATATCATCAGCCCCGTAGTTCTCTATATTATCACCCCTGTCGATCTCTATATTATCACCGCCGCAGTTCTCTATATTATTACCCCTGTCGTTCTCTATATTATCACCCCCGCAGTTCTCTATATTATCACCCCCGCAGTTCTCTATATTATCACCCAAGTCATTCCCTGTATTATCACCCCTGTCGTTCTCTGTAGTATCACCCAAGTCATTCTCTATACTATCACCCAAGTCGTTCTCTATATTATCACCCAAGTCGTTCTCTGTAGTATCACCCAAGTCATTCTCTATACTATCACCCAAGTCGTTCTCTATATTATCACCCCCGTAGTTATCTATATTATCACCCACATCATTCTCTGTATTATCAACCCTGTCGTTCTCTATATTATCACTCCTGTAGTTCTCTATATTATCACCGAAGTCGTTCTCTATATTATCACTCCCGTAGTTATCTATATTACCACCCAAGTCATTCCTTGTATTATCACCCCGGATCTTCACGGGTTAACCTGATACCACTGTACAGTGTTTAGTAGCTCCTGACAACAGCTTAGATTAGTGGGTCTGAGAGGGACTTACTCATCCGCATTATTGATGGACCGGTCAAACCTCGGCTCTTTCGACGTGCAGTTCCAATATTCGACTGTGGCCACGCCCCTTCCATCCCTCTGCTCACAAGTGTAGTTCTCCGCCTTGGACGTGTATCTGTCACCAGTGTCTGTGAACAGTCAATAACTGAGTGCATGATTGAATGTTCCCTGTATCAGGTGGCAGTATTCAAGCGATGTCACACGCCAGCATGTTCATAATCGGGACTAGGCGAACCAGTGGTTGATAGCGTGAGCACCGCTTCAAGGGATTTGAGAGCAGTCAGAATGTGTACACAGGTAACTTCGCTCAACATTAAGATCACAACTCCTCGTTGTGTTATTGCTGCAGCAACACATCTAATGAGGAGATAAACATACTGTTATTTAAAATTCAGAGGTTTCAAACGTAGATTCGATACCTGTAAATTTCACTCGAGCATGACACGATGAGAAAATAGTGAGTGAGTGAGTTGTGTTTAACGCCGCTTTTAACAGTATTCCAGTTATATCGCGGCGTGTCTGCTTAATGTGGGAGGGAAGCCCGAAGTGATGCAGGTCCCAGACGTTTACCACTTCGTTGAAATCCACAAGCACGGGTATTGTGCTAACAAACCTAGAAACATAATCGGGGCAAACCGGGATTCGAACCCGCAATCATAGGTGGCGCAACTCTGCACAGCGAATCGCGGGCGCCTTAGACGACTGGGCCACCCGTGCCATCTCAATGAGAAAATAAACGCGACCTCTTTGGTAATAGGTGAATTGATGAGATAGGATCTTAATATTTGCAGAAGGTTAAAAGATCGAGTTCAGGGATCAGAGGAGATTTTTGTTCTGCATTCAGTTTTCTCTATGTGCACAAACCATAATTGTCGCCATTATACTTTAAGCACTTCCGTAAAACACGATACAGTAACCTAGCTCAGATATCCGGTAAGCATTATTCAACCTGTCATCCAAGAGACAATGAAGCGACCCAACAGTGTTTGGCTCTAAAGTAAACGTCACTGTCTCCAGACAGGAAGTCTAAGCATTGTGATGCCCTAGACATGACCTCTCGCCAAATGTCAAGTGTTCTGCCTGAATTATATACAATCCAGGAACGTGTGATTCAGCTGCATTTATAAAGTAAGATCAGCACTTGAAATTACCGTCCGA